AGAGCAGGTACAGGCGGATCTTGATACACTTTCGAATTTTTGAATAACTCCACTGTAGAAATCCCGTAGAATTCGAATACTCAAATATATATATATATATATATATTTATGAGTATCCTACCGACTGCGCCAATTATGGATTCTACAGCCGGAGGTTGTAAAAAAAAATCCAACCTTTTTCTTAACTTAAATTTATTAATATAAAATAATAATTACAATGCTTATAGTTCGATGTTAGAACAGAATATGATTGATTTATATAATCAGTGGCACTCAATGAGGAAATAGCCATTATTATTGCTAAAAGTTGCATATAGATGGCGTGATTGATATCGATGGAATTCTTCATAGTTTTGCAAACGTTTTAAAAAACAAAACTGTGTTTTCAAAATAGTTTAATCCATTTTTAAAAAAATATATATACATGTTAAAATGAAATAATGCGTTTAGAAAAGTAATTTTCATATATTTACTCATTTTGTTATTTTCCAGTACTTAATTACACTTTAATCAGTGCTAATACGGGGCTCAATGTTTTCAAAATGCTTTCATAGATGGCATTGTTGTCATTTGTATCGGCCTAATTAAATGTCTTTTTTATATTTTCCAATAATAAGCACTTAATATATTATTATTGTAAATTAAACATATAAAAAAAGTTTAAGTAAATTAAAAATAGCCGAACAAGCAAATAATACTATTTCCAATAATACTTATGTATGAAGTGTTGTCATATTAAAAATAAATACATGTATTATCGATTTTTTTTAATAATCGATACCAGGATTTTATTACAGCGCATTATTCGATGATGCTTTTAATGAGTCGTTGTGAACAGTAAATTTTCATTATTTTGTATTAAGTATAGCAGTATTCCGTTTCAAAGAACGGAATATAGTAGTACATTATTAGTGTCGTTGGTTATTTACATTTGTACTGAAAAATCGATTACATAATAATTTAAAATATCGAGTACGAATCGTAGCTGTCTTCGAATACTGGCAACTGGTAAGATTAAAATAGTTTAAAAAAAAAGAGAGAAATCGACCCTAACTCGAATACCATAAAGTTTATTTTCCTTTCTCATTAATATCATAGCAGTTTGTTTTTAACTTGCGTATGACTCTGTGGTACGATGTTTAACGTGTATTGTTATTGTACGGTGCATACATTTCAAAAATTATATTTTAATGTAGGTACAAACATTTCTTTCATACATTTCATACATGTCAAAAATTATCTTTTAATGTAGGTACATACATTTCTTTCATACATGTCAGAAATATCTTTTAATGTAGGTACATACATTTATTTCATACATTTCATACATTTCAAAAATGAACTTTTTATGTAGGTACATACATTGTTTTCATACATCTCATACATTTCAAAAATTATATTTTAATGTACATACATTTCTTTCATACATTTCAAAAATGAACTTTTTATGTAGGTACATACATTTCTTTCATACATCTCATACATTTCAAAAATTATATTTTAATGTAGGTACATACATTACTTTCATACATTTCAAAAATTATATTTTAATGTAGGTACATACATTTCTTTCATACATTTCATACATGTCAAAAATTATCTTTTAATGTAGGTACATACATTTCTTTCATACATTTCATACATTTCAAAAATGAACTTTTTATGTAGGTACATACATTGTTTTCATACATCTCATACATTTCAAAAATTATATTTTAATGTAGGTACATACATTTCTTTCATACATTTCAAAAATGAACTTTTTATGTAGGTCCTTACATTTCATACATTTCAAAAATTTCATACAATACATTTCTTTCATACATTTCAAAAATTATCTTTTAATGTAGGTGCATACATTTCACACATTTCAAAAATTTCATACAATACGTTTCTTTCATACATTTCAAAAAGTATTTTTTAATGTAGGTACATAACACCCCATGTCAGACCCCTTATATTTGGAAGAAACTTAAAAATAATGCCAAAAATATTAGATGAATATATTTTTAATACGAATATTGTTTTATTTTTGTTCATCAACTTTATCCCTCACTAACAATACTAGTAGTAGTACATAACCTGGTTTATACCGCTAAAGATATTGAAAGATATACGAGTAATTCAGAATGTTATCAAGTTCAAAATAAGCACACATTACTTGCTTAGATAACAGAGTAATATTACTAGTAATAAAAACATTTGTAATACCCATATGTATACTACGTATGTATAGTAAGTACTTACGCTGCGGCGCCGTGAGACTCGTCTAAGTACTTCATCTACTACGCGCGGTAACCGCGCCGACCGACCAATAGGATAGCGCCTCTCGTGTTTCCAGAAAGTTCGCGACTAACGGACGATATAGTAGTAAGGCAATGAGTGTCCCAGTGATATCATTATAATATTTTCTCGTTAAATTTTATTGTAATATACACAATTTCGCACTAAATAACGTGTTACCCCGTTACACATTTCTAATAATGAAAAACCTAGACCCACCCTGTTCACTTAATCTTACAAGATCTGACTTTAAAAATTACGATATCCTCATATAGCCTTTCATTTCCCCTTTCAATACTTTTTCGCATTAAAAAGTAGCCTTTCTCAGGGTCTACATTATCTGTCTACCAAATTTCAATTAAATAGTTCAGTAGTTTTGGCGTGAAAGCGAGACAAACAGACAGACTGAGTTCCTTTAGCATTTATAATATTTGTAAGAATATCGCTATTAAAAATAGGGGTTGGTGAAAGACGGGTGAAAATTTAGGCGTGTATGTATTTTCAATGTAACATTATAAATAAATAAAAAATTGTCCATAATACAAAAAAAAATTTTTTCGGGGTAGGCCACCCCTATGACTTAGGGGTATAAAAAATAGATAACAACCCTACCTCAGACCTGGGAAGTATACATATCAAATTTCATCAAAATGTGGGAGAAATATGGCAACTAACACTGTGATACAAAATTTATATATAAGATATAGCGGAATTCTTATTAGGTAAAAGAGGGGTACATCGTAGAATACATGAGGTATATACCAGTAAATTAATTGTAGCTAAAATCAGTCTCATACATATAACGATTGAAATAAAAAATCGTATAGCCCGATTTTGATACGTACGAGTATAAACGTATCAAAATCAGGCTATACGTATAGCGCAGACGCGTTACAACATATCAAAAAAAATAGGCATGGAATGTAAAATAAACCATAACACAATAGGTATATACATTGGCACATAAGCCATATCTGCAGAGTGTCGGCTAACGATATTATACCTACACATTTACATTGAATCTTGAATCGTCCCTAATGAGGTACACGATACAGTTACCTACATATCTATTATATACATATCTTTGCAAAACAGATGTCATGTAGACTGAATTCACTGCCATCTATTTTCATGCTTTGTTACTAAGCACCCACTAGTAATCCGAACTGCTTCAGATCTAGCGACATCTATCGGCTACGGTGGCGAAATAAAATAGCCCGAAGAATAGCCCGAGTTAGGAAGGAACCATTTTCTTGTATGGGATGGGGTATCTGTATGTAATATTATGTTATCTGTGATATAATTCTATAAAAATGAAATGTAACTATAGGCATGACGCGATATGGCGCGATGCTCATTGCTGATCAAGCATTTGGTGCCGCGTGCAATGTTTATTGGGGACAGTGCAAATGCAGCAGTCCTTCTATACTAGGCTTGCGTAACACACATACCTATATGTTAATAATATTATGTTTAGTATGCAGGACACCATAACTTCAATAGAAATAATTTTACACATTATATAGGTAAGTAAACTTACAATTAGGATCACATTAAAAAATTAGGAGTAAATAAACATTATTTGCTTTTTTCTTATCCCATTTATTTGGGGTCTGCGTATGTCTTCCATTCATTCCTATTCAAAATCACATATAAATAATAAACAATTTTAAGTAACATAACAATATAAAATTGGCCTAAGCATAACAAAAAATATATTTCTTTATTTAAATTATGTTACTTAAACTAAAACACACAATAATTGTGTGTGTGCCTTTAACAGAGTCTAAAATATTCTTTATTCCATTTCCATAGAGTTTACTGATTACTTTGCTTTTTACAAAATTGCTATAGAACTGATTCTTCCAAATTTTAATTTAAAAATGAACGTGCATTATTGTATACATGTACCATATTTGAAAAGATTGCGAGCTGAGTTCTTGTCAGTTCTTCTCATCTCGAAAGCATTCTGAACTGACGGTATATTTGACATATCCTAAGATTCTGTAATAGACCTACATGAATAAAGATAATTTGATTTGATTCACTGATTTATGTTTATCTTGTAAAATGCATTTTTTACATACAAGACACACATATCTTGCTATATATTGAAAAAGTATAACAGTGAGATCCATTCAGTCATTTTATTTAAGAAAAGGCAACAGTGAACAGACAGATAGACATGTACCTTTTCACATTTATAATTTGTTTGGATTTGAAAATATATACTTTATTAATTATTCTGGTTTTGACAACCATTTTCCAACTACAATTCATCATTGTTTTTCAAAAATAAAAATATTATTTACAAGAACCTACCTAGTCTACCTACAAATATTTGTCCTATTCTTTTAAGTACTACTACTAATAAATTACATATTCGTTACTATGTGGGTTGCAACCCACAATTTGAAAAACACTGATCAAGTCAATAGCATTATATTATTTATTTATAATTGCTGCTCACATCAGATGAATTTACCAATGAATCAAAAGAAGAGATCAAAAAAGTGTTATGAATATTGTTGAAGACAATCTGTTCTATATACATCACTGGAATGGTGTACAAGCTGACAGAAACTGGTGACTATGTCTATAAATTAACAAACTTTATAATTATCCTGTACTGACCCTCATGTGTTGCTATTCTGGAGGAATAAAGTGTACATTTACCACATACCTACAGTAGTAAATTTGTAGGGTATGTAACCCTACAAATTTACTACAGTATTATATAGAAATAAATAAATAAATAATAAGAACAAATACAGTTTATATATTTATCCTTTAGGTATTATTTAGTGTTTAAGAACAGATATGTAGCATCAACTTTAGGGCACCTTTGGCACTTGGTTGCTTTGGCACTTGGCACTTGGTTGGTCCACCCTACAGGAGAGCTAACATGGCGAAACAATGTTCATTGATAAAATCTCACTAACACTAGATCTCTAAATTTAATCACTTGTATCCAACACCTCACATTTCATAACTGTTTCATCATTATCCCCATCGTCTGATGATGAAACAGATGACTGATGATTCCTATTATTTGATGTAGGTGACACTATATTCGTGGACACATAACACTCTGTATAAGATGACGAATTCGGGTTACTGGATGCATTGATTTTGACAGAGAATCTGTTCAAATTTTCCAATTCTGCTTCGAAGAGCACATCATTTATAGCCTTCTCAGCAAAGAGTCGTTGCTTTGGCTGCAAATTCTCCAATTTATCAGCCCATATGAAAGCAATTGGGTTTTTCACTTTAAACATATGCGGCACACCAGATTGAGTTTCATCTGCTTTATTGTTTTTTTTTATTTTCGGTTTTTTCTTATTGCTTCTTATTATAATATCTCTAGCACGCTTCTTTGGCGAAATATATATTGCAGAAGAGAGTTCTGTCTCATTCTCCTCATGGTCTATGTCTTGTATTTGCTCGGAATTGTTGCAATCATGGGTATCTTGGGACTGGAATTGAAAATAAATACCATAATTAAAATAATGTAGTGTCTATGCACTGTCTGATCACGTTTGGTCGGCAACGCGCGTAACCAACACACCTGCCTAGTGTACTGAAACACCAGGCAGGTGTATTGGTTAAGCCATTGACATAAGTCCATAGACTAAAAAATATATTTATTTTATCAAATGAGTTCTAACTTCTAACGTCGTCTGCCACTATTGTGCTTATGATGCGTTTACATATATGTATATATATATATCGTCGGTTAAATAGAAAAATGGCAGTATTCAAATCGTACATATTACAAGACAAGCAATTAAAGTTTTAAATTTATTTTTTCCCTTCAAGTTTTAAATTTACACAGAAGTATTATATATCATTTTAAAAGTATTTAGATAATGATTAAGAGGGTGTGGTTAATTTAATTGATATATATAAATAGGAGGCACTTCATTTTTCAAAATTGGAAGCTATTTTGAATAATGACATTTTTCTATTTCAATGACGATATCTATTCATTAACAAAATTGCATATATATTGTGAATGTTTATATTATCAATTTATAACTATCGCCACCATAATAATAGATGTTGATGAATAACTTTAATTAATTTAAAACATGACACATTTATTTTACCGTTTTAGAAATGGCAAAGAAAGACAATTAGTAACTCAATTATGTAAGTATAAATATAACCAGTAATATTCAGTTCAGAAATATACTATTCATAATTTAAATTGTTTACAATAGAATAACTTACCAGACTGGCTTGAACTTCTTCCTCTAAAAAATAAAGCAAATCAAATGTCCAGGATTTTGGTACATAAACGTCAAAAGGTGAACTCACAGATAGTTTAGAGATATTCACTTTCTTTAATTCTTTCCTATAGTATGTACGCAGTCCATTTATTTTCATTCGTACATCATAAATATTGGCAGCCGGTTTGATTAATCTATAAATTTGTAATAACTTTTGCAATGCCTCCTTTCGTTTGTATTTATTGTGGTAATGATCATGTTTTGAGTCCCATAACATTGGTAATTTCTCGTATGCTTGAATAAATTTCTTTTCAGCATCGTATAAGCTTGGCGGCGGCGGCGAGGACGGTGACACAACGTCCATAGTCATAGCAGCGCAAACTCAGACTAATTAGATAGAGATAGAACGATTCTGATGTTGGCGCGACGCGAAATGAAAATGGCGTCCAGCCGCTCATGCCATGGGGGAATGATCGTCGTTTGTTCGTATCCTCGTGTGGTGTAAGTGATGTGCGTGCGACGTTCAGACAACTATTTACAAAATATACAAACCTGGTTGAATCCATATTTCTGAATTTCGATGATGAAGTTGTAATACATATTTTGAAATTATATTGACACAGTTACAAAGTCGTAGTATGAAGTCTACATATTGCTAGCTATTTATTTAATAAGTTCATCAATTCTTCGAAAAGATTATAAATAATAATCTACTACGTAGGTTTTTCTTATCATTTTGCTTAATCTGTGAGTGAGTTTTGGGTACTAGCTATAGTATAAGTGACCCATATGTATTTATAGGCTGTTTAATACTAGTAACAACGGATTCACAGGAATGTAAAATAAGAATAAATAAATACACAATGATCCTAAAATATATTTTTAACTTTAATAAGACTTGTTATTATTGAATAATAAAAAAAAATATATAAATCTAGAAATTGGTTCCTTAATCCTGACTTAAAACTACAACATGTTCACCAATATCACCGGACAAATAAGATTCTTCCTTGGTGATTTTTGGTTGTAAATCAGGTTGTTCGGAAATGTTGTCCTGTGTGGAAACGAAATACTGTGAGTAAGGTGATGAACATTCTTCTGCTTGTTGATTAATTTTCACAGAATGTCTATGTAGAGTTCCCATTTCAGCTTCAAATAAAACATCGTTTATAGCTTTTTCTGCTAGCAATCTCTGATCTGCTTCCAAATTTTCGAGTTTATCTACCCAAATGCGAGCGATTGAATTCCTTATTTTCGTCAACTGCGTACAACAAGAACACGTGTGATAGGGTGAACTTCTTTTTGAACAAGTTGGCCTTTTAATTTCAGTTATTTCATATTTTAAACTTTTCTTTTTTGCTGGCGTATGTTCAACTTGAACACACTCGATTTCACGAATTGGTGATGTAGAAATTGCTGGGTCTAATTCAACTTCAATTTCTTCAAAAACGGTGCAGTCACTGGCATTATGTTCCTATAATAAAAAAAAATTGTCTTCATCAAACTGATAAAGAAAAGTTTACTAAGTTAAATTCCTCTCAATTGAAAGGTATAGGACTACAAAACGACAGCAGAAAATAAGACGGTCACGAACTAAAAACATAATTGTTTTAATGACCTATTAACCTTTTGTCATATTCGTTAGTTAATATACAATACTAGTGGAATATAGACTACATGCGTAAATTTTAGGAAAGACATTTCTTATTTATAATAACAAAATTTATTTTCAATATTGTAACAAATTAGGTACAGTTACATGGTCAATAACATAATAAATTTTGTTTAACTAATTAAACTATTATAGTTAATATTTAATTATACTTAAAGTTTAGAATAAAATAAAGGTATATTTTCTTTTAACTACGCTTAATCTCTTCACTCGTGGCATACATTCTAACGTGAACTGCTTACCTACAATGTTTATGTGTGTGTACGTAAGCGTATAGCGGCAATATCTAAGGTAGCGTAGTGTGCTCCGAACTGCCGTGTACGTACTCTTATCTCACTTTATTTACATTTTTTGTCTCATTCTTACAATATCAAAAGTGATTCTTTTTTGTTTTCATGAACAGAATTAAATTCATAATCAATTAATAAAGATACTATTTATAATTATTATTTTACTTAATTAAGAATTGTTTTTAAAGTATAACTAGTAATACCTCCTAAATAGATATATAATACAATATATAGGTACGTAATGCTACATTGTTGCCGCGAATGCCTTCTAGAGACCGCGTCATACAGTAAACTTGTGTCTGACATTATTCTTTAAATTAAAGTACTTTTAAAAAACACTGCTGTTTTGGTGCATCAAACTGACAAGTAATTTCATAGATTATTAGATACAATAAAGAAAGTCTATTTAATGATATATTCATTATAAAAATTAATGAAACAATGACTTACGTCGGTCGTCGTTGATACTTCCATTTGATTGCCTAAAAAACTGAGTAGCTCAAATGACCATGTCCTCGGCTTATAAACATTGTTAGGTGAATCACTATTAATCATCTTGGACAAAAGAACTTTCTTCAATTCCCGCCTATAGTTCGATCTAAGCGTGTTTATTTTCATTCTCACATCGTTAACGGTCGCGCTTGCCTTTATAAACTTGTACACTTTTAATAATTTCTGCAGTGCTTCGTGCCGCTGATATTTGTTGGAGTATTCTGGGTGTTTTGCGTCCCATAATATTGGTAAACTTTTGTACACGTAAATGAATTTTTTCTCAGCTTCAAACAGGCTGGGTAACGTTTTCGAGTTGGGAACGAGCGATACGTGCGTCTCCATCGCGGTCCAATCTCTGACTGACAGAGACAGACTGATGTTGGAATGATCGGTTGCCGTTTCCTCGCGGCATCGATCAGTCCACGGGCAGCCAGAACTACTATTATTACTTGTCTAACCGCTTTTTGTAAAATGATTGATGCATGACTGCGGATGATTGATGACTGATGTATTGGAATTACATTTTATAGGTACCTACCTACATAAAGGAAATAATAAATAATAATATTTTTTTATTTCATAGCTTACGTCCCTCGTAATGCTAGTGGAGGGAGAGTTATTTTACTTAAATTTGTTAACGGTGTTTATCATCATCATGGAGTGTGTCAAAATTTTTACATATAGCTTTAAATAATTAACGCCAGGGAAACACTTGATATGGATATTTCTGGTTGCAAGAATATGTAGCTAAGTGTGTATTTCATAGTAGGTATAGTGTAAATATAGGTCAAACACTCAACACAACCATTTAACGTCATAACCCACCTATAATGATGAAAGTAGTTAGGTATGAAGATAGAATCAGTTTTGTTTAGGTATATGTTTTTTATCTTGATGGTAGAACATCTTTTCAAGATTTGTTTTGCCTCCGTTTCAAGAGTGAAAAATGTGGGATTTATATTCAGAACAAAGCACATCACCGCGAGGTTAACAGGAATCACATCATGTTAATCTGTGAGCCAAAAAAAACCAGTTAATACATATTTACAATGTAGTATTCCCAGAAGTAAACTTCAATGATTTTGAAGGAAATTCTCAGCACGAGACCAAAATAAAAACCAAAACTACTAACCCCTTCATCAAATGGAAGTACACGATACTTTTTTGTAAATAGGTAAAATATAAAATTAGTAGGTAAGTAATTTCAACAAACGCTCACTCTGATTGATAATTTAGTATTTTTATTCGATATTTTTATTAATTTTAATTCGATTCCAACTCAAGATAATTCGCTATAAACAATATTCTAAAATCATATTATACACTTTCTTTAAATATATATACTATTTAGAATAATTTATTATAACTCATAATAAGTACTAATAACGGAAAAAACTAATCATCAAATAGAAAATATTAATGTGTACACTTTTCAGATACAGCGCCACCTAGTTGTGTTAGAATTTACTTATTCCGCAGAGAGTTGTATACTCTTGTTGCAGAGCAGAATGACCAAATAGTATTTCTATGAAACATAATATACATAATTATAAATTCACAATACTTCTCATAGATGGCGCTATCACACATAATAATATAAAAGGTGATTTGTGAGAATAGAAAATTGAATTTTGATTATAGATAAATAATTCAGTTGAATTGTTAATTTACATTTATTCATTATTATTATTCATAAACAAGTACTTTGTAAATATGCAATAATATAAAAAATCAATTAGAGTATATTAAAACATTTAAAAATAATGACATATGCGTTTCAACATGTATCTAGTCAAATGTAAAAAAAATGTGTGCATATTTCAATACTTTTTGGATGGATCGTAAATATTATTGTATTACAGCATTTGCAGTAGCTGTCTTTTTATTCATTATTTTATAAGGAACTAGCCACCCATCCCGGCTTCGCACACATCCAGTACAAATCTTTGAATATCTCGGCTTGTTCTCATTCTATAACACACGTACCTATATCTATACATATGAATAAAATTGGAGTGTCTGTAATATTGACATAACCGTTTTTTACTACATGCATATACATGTAGTAAAAACGGTTAGTATTTATTACATTCATATGAATATAAATACGGTACATACACCAAAATATTTTTTTTTACAATTTTTGTCTGTCTGTCTGTCTGTTTGTTCCGGCTAATCTCTAAAATGGCTGGATCGATTTTGACGGGACTTTTTTGGCAGGTAGCTGATTAATAAGTTACTTCTTATTACATCAGTTACCTGCCAAAATAAGTACCGTCAAAATTAGGGTTAGGCTACTTTTATTTTAGAAAAATAAAGTTTAATTCCACGTGGACGAAGTCGCGGGAACAACTAGTTATACATATAAACCTTCATTTTGAATCACTCTATCAATTGCTGGAAACTGCATTGAAATCTATAAATTGAATAAATTTAATTTTATCCGCCCGATCGGCTTGGAAGTTGTAAGAATAATTAACAGTTTAAATGTCAAATCGCCCACGTCGTCTTATGACGTGAGGATAGATCAAGATATAACTTAACAAAAGAAACATTTTTATATCGCCCCCATAAAAATAGGTATAGTCTATGTCTAAGTATTATAGTCAACGTGTTGCGGACACAGATATTTTTAGTAATAATTTTTATGGGGAATATGTTGTCTGAATCGCCGTGAAAACGGCCATAAAATATAATATTGTAGTTTTTCTTATTGCCTGCCCGTGCGACTGCTGAAGTTAATTATTGTGTGTCACCACTCCGCTTCATTCCAAGAATGCTATAAAGGTGTCTAATACTATACCCACACCTTGATATATTATTATCAAACAAATAATAATAATATCTGAGGACAATTCACACAGCGCGATCATATGCTAAGAAAGAAGTAAAACATAAGACAATAAATAAATGGCAAGAATTGTATATAAACTCCCAGATAAGAGTCATAATAAAAACATTTTGTTTTTATTATGTACAGATTTAAGAAAAGCTCATCTATACATATAAATAAAATTGGAGTGTCTGTTTGTAATATTGAAATAACCGTTTTTTACTACATGCATATATGTATACATATACTAAAAAACATTTTTTATCATTTTGTCTGTCTGTCTGTCGGTCTGTTTGTTCCGGCTAATCTCTGAAATGGCTGGACCGATTTTATCGGGGCTTTTTTGGCAGGTAGTTGATATAATAAGGAGTAACTTAGGCTAATTTTATTTTAGAAAACTAATTTCATTTTAGAAAAATGAAGTTAAATTCAACACGCGGATGAAGTCGCAGGTACAGCTAGTTATATAAATCTTCCTCTTGAATCACTCTATCTATTGCTAAAAACAACAGCGTACAGACACAGCTGAAGCGAATTCGTTTTATACTATGTAAGGAAGTATACTTACAATATTTAATTTAAATTTCCCAATTCCATCAAATTCACTGTCACAATTAAAATAATACGCATTACATAATATCATTTAGCATTATAATTTTATTATTTAGTTTATGTACAATTGCAAAATTTAAAAACTTAAAATAAAATTGCTAAAAGAAAGTTAAAAACACTGTTTAAAACAAATACTTATTGTATTTCAACGAACTAGAAACTCTTTACATATAATTACGCATCTTGAAATTGTTAAACAAGTTCTAAAGTTCGACAACACAATTACGCATTTACTAACTGGTCGTGGAGAAAAAAGATCGTACCTGCACAGATTTAAGATAATAGACTCCGATCATTGTCCGTGTGACGATGAAACAGCGCAGTCTGTGATACATGCCATAACGGAATGCTCCATATTTAACAGAAAAATATTCATTTTGAAAATTTACTAGATATGGAAATAAGTTTAGAAAATTTCCCAAAATTAATGACAAGTAAATATGATAGACAAATATTTTTAGAGTATGCAACAAGATTCCTGAAAACCATAACTAATAAGAATAAGTAGTGTAAATAATTATGGTGTTACAGGTACATACATTAAGTAGTATAAGGTTAATAAAAAAAAATAGGCCGTAAAGAAGTCGCCACAAAGGAAGCGGCAGATATTACTATACATAATAAAAACAATTCACACAGCGCCATCTAGCTGCTTAGCAGTGCTTGTCTCGTCGATTACCTTAGCCACTATAGAAGTTTTCAATAGGGAGGAAATTGGTCGCATTGATAAATTCACAATTTTGGTTACTATATTGCATAACATTCTCAAATACTCAAATCCACTATCTGGGGGCCAATTCTCGTTTCCTTCGACATAATCTCGAAATCGACGTAGTGATTCGAATCCTATTTCTACTATAAAATCTGGAATACCGAAGTTATTTTCTCGCTTCGCGTATTCTCAGCACCGATAGAAACAATCGTGTCGCTTTCTTAGGGTTAAAAAATGCATGAGTTCCGTAGCCTTTGACTATAAATGAAATTATAAAAAGCTTGCTTACTCAATTCAATTAGCTCTGTCTAAAATTAAAATTAGATACACTTCAGCAGCTTGGCAGACCTTTGTTATCCAAATTTTTTATACTATTCGTCAATTACGAGTCAGCACAATTGTGTTTAATTAGTTTTTCTTAGTAAAAATTGCATTATTCATGAAAGTGAACTAATGGAATTAAGAAAGTACAAAAAAAACGTTAGGTTCATTTGCCAAGATTACTGAATTTCGATATATTTGAATTTTCCATGAAACTAAAGTAGTAGGCTCTATATATATTTGAAGTTATTTTATTCGTGACAATGGAACCAATATATTACCCTTAAAATGTATATTTACCTTTAATTATATGAAAATACCTTTATTTACTATAAAATTATTAGTGTAACTTCCTGGTTAATAATATTAGTAGAGTTTTTTACAAAGTCTATCTCTTCTGCAATAGGTGTATAAATAAGTACTACATTATATAATTATAATTGCATAGGACAGTTAAAAGGATAAGACCCCATGTCTTATCCTTTTAACTGTCCTATGCACAGAGCCAAATGAAGAACGGCCCGTAAATCAGATGACCTGACAAGAGAAAACTCTTAAATACACGAGAAGAAATTGTGTTAATTCCATTACACGTTGCAAATAAAGATAAGATATTTTTTATGTCATAAAATATTTTGTATCTCTTTGTTACTTAAAAGGCAATCATAGTAATTTATATGCACATATAATTATATTAAAATTGTTCAACATTTGTTTAGAAGAGCAACAGGTAAGTTTCTTGCTCAATTATCTTGGCTGAAACTGAAGCAATGAGTGGTAAATAGAAAAGTCTACTCAAATGTGCATAAATTTAAGTTTATTTCTATAGAAATTATTTATATTCAATTCTATTCTGGAATCACTGTACAGATTTCTC